ATATGATTTTAAAATTCGAATTTCAAAGCCCTTATTTGTTAATCATTAAGATTTGTTGTTACTTTGTATACAATGGATATTAAATTCCATCTTTGAATTGAAAAACATTCTTAAAAACTAAATTCAAGTTATTTTATTTTTATTTCATTTCATTTGAACATCTTTATTCAGGATAAACATGATCACCAAAGCAGTTTTTCGTCATTTTTCAGTTAACGAACCTGAATCAAAATAAACAAGAAAAAACAATATATCAAAGGCGGTTGGCAATGGAGAAAAGGATATGTAAGCAAATAAAGAAAAAGCTATAAGAACATGTTTTGCAATAGTTTAAAAATCATATGAATGTCAGTTAAATTTATCTTCCACTTTCGAAAGTAAAGAGCAAGTCTAATTTTATACTTGGCTATTCTGTAAATATATCTTGTTGGACTTAACCAGCGCCTTAAAACCATCAATGTTTGGGGAGATTATTTTCATACAGTATCTGCGACAGTCATCTGCAACGGCTTATTATGCTTACATTGTAAACACGATCGCAACTAATTTCCGAAAATCAACCTAGCCTTGAAGTTTGCAAACATTACAATGACGAGGCAGTAATCTAGATTTGCCACTCCTCACCCTAGAGAGAAATGGGGGCCTGGTAAGATGACGAAAGATTAATTGCCATATGCACTCACAGTGACCATATGGTAGGAATACTTCCCAGGGGGTAGAGATGGTGTACATTATGCGTGAATGATGCGATGACCGGGGAAATAACATCTGTAAAGCGCTTGGAGACGGGATTTCGTATTAAGCGCTATATACATCCAGACTATTATTATTATTATCATTATTATATTATTATGTTTAATGAAATTCGACCTTGATTTCTCTTGGATATTCCAGTAGGGTATTAAAATAGCTCTTGAATTTGTTTAAAAAGGGTAGTTGCAATCGTGTAAGTAATAAATGTTCTTTTTTTGTCTTACATAACATTTCCAAACATTCCAACAAAAGGCTCTTGTATTTAATACCAAAATGCGTTGCATATCGTTTTTATACTGTTGATACATATGCTTACTAAAACATAAATAACAAGAAGAAAAAAACCAAAATGTACCTTCTCTGTTGTGCAATTCTTTTTTGTGTGATTCTTTTAACTTTAAATTTACACTGTACTTGTATACTTCTTTACATCTTGTTTTAATGTATTGTGTCTTCATTTGCAGTCAAGAAATGATCTCTTACACTGGTTACGATGTGAGAATGAGAGGGCGGGGGATTAGAGGTGAATAAAGAGAGAGGTCAAGTAGAGGTATTTTGGAACACGTTAGGGAAGTTATATATATATATATATATATATATATATATATATATATATATATATATATATATGTGTGTGTGTGTGTGTGTGTGTGTATTTATATATATTTATATATATATATATAAATATATATATATATATAAATTCACACAATTCACACAATTACATGTCTTCGTGGTGTATATTCACCCCGATGCCGACGCAGGTATTGCTTCTACCATGATACAGACAAAGGTTAATGAGATGGAGGACCAGGCCCCTGATTCCCCCAAAATTGTCCTAGGGGATTTCAACCATTGTCGGCTGGAGGACACTATGCCCCATTATCACCAGCATATCGATAGACCTACACGAGGTGGAAACATTCTAGACCGTTGTTATAGCTCAATAGAAAACGCATACAAAGCTATTACACAACCACCACTTGGACGTTCCGATCACAATGTGATCCACCTCTTGCCAAAGTACAAACAGAAGCTAAAACGAGAAAAAACGGTAAAAAAGACCATCCGTGTTTGGAATGTTAAGTCAACTGAAGACTTGCAGACAGCCTTTGACATCACAGACTGGGAATTGTTCTTTGGTTCTTGTGAGAACATTGATAAGATCACAGACACAATTAATAGTTACGTCATGTTCTGTGAGAGCCTTCACATTCAGTCAAAAACTGTTACTATCTACCCTAACAATAAACCATGGATAAATACTGAGCTAAAATCGATCATGCGAGAGAAAAGGGCTGCCTTTGACCGCGATGATATTGAGCAGGTTAGAGATCTGAATGAAAAACTAAAGAATGCAATCAATCGGGCGAAAAGATGCTACAAAGATAAGCTAGAAAGCTGCTCCGAGAATAATAACTTAAAAGGAGCATGGAAATGTTTAGAAACCATGACCGATTATAAAAGAAAAGAAAATGCATTTGTAAACATTGATGATCCAAAACAAAAAGCTGATCAATTAAATGTTTTCTATTGCCGATTTGACAAACACGACTTTCATGATACTATCAAGGAGCAGGAAGTATTGCTCCGATCAATGAATGACCATCCGATCTAGATCGACGAGCAAGAGGTACGAAGGCAGTTCAAAGCTGTGAACCCCCAAAAGGCTAACGGCCCAGATGGCATTAGAGGTCGAGTGATGAAAACGTGCGCCAGCCAACTGGCTACCCCGTATACGGCGCTTTTCCAGATGTCCGTTGACCAATGCAAAATCCCGGCATGCTGGAAATCATCCGTCATCACTCCAGTAGCCAAGCAACCCCGCCCTACAGAAGACAACGACTTTCGACCAATAGCGTTAACGTCGATTGTCATGAAATGCCTTGAGAGAATTGTCTTGAGAAATCTCATTCGACCGATTCGCTCTAGTATTGACCCCCTTCAATTTGCATATCAACCGCAGAGATGTGCGAATGATGCTGTTCTTTCTTTTGTACACACGCTACAAGAACATTTGGACACACCGAGACGTTACGCAAGGGCATTGTTCGTTGACTTTTCATCAGCCTTCAACACGATACAACCGCACCGTCTTATAGAGAAGCTGTTGCATCTGAAAGTGAAACCGTCTCTTATTTTGTGGATAACGGACTTTCTCCTCACGAGAAGCCAGAGAGTGAGAGTAAACAACATTTTGTCCGAACCACTGCACACCAACACTGGATCACCCCAGGGCTGTGTACTTTCCCCGATTATTTTCATTCTATATACTAATGACTGTCTATCCCATTTTAACAATGTTCATACTTTCAAGTATGCAGACGATACTGCCATATTAGGGCTGATTAAATATGATGAAAAGGATTACAGAGATTGTGTAGATAACTTCAACTCATGGTGTGTGGAAAACTATCTAGAACTGAATGTGCAGAAAACCAAAGAGATCCTGTTTGATTTTAGAATCAAAGTAGAAAGCAAACCAAGTGACCACCCTGTAAGCATTAAAGGCCAAGATATTGAAATTGTTACTTCATACAAATATTTGGGTATAAACATTGATAATGAACTGGTCTGGAATGGGCATACAAAAGCCCTCGCAACAAAAGGGAGCCAGCGAATGCACTTTCTGCGAAAGCTGCGTTCATACCATGTTGATAGGACCATACTGTCACTTTTTTATCGGTCCGTACGTAGTTGAAAGTATAATGACCTATGATTCTGTAGTGTGGTACAACAGTGCTAGAAAGAAAGACCAAGGAAAACTCAAAACCATTGTCAAACAAGCAGCCAAAATAATAGATAGACCAATGGACCTTGATGATGTTTGCAGAAACAGAGCAGTGGAAACGGATGTCAAGTTGTTAAGGGATTCAAGTCACCCCCTGAATGGAAATTATGTCAGGTTAAGAAATGGTAAAAGGTGGCAATCAAAGAAATCCCGCACTTCGAGGTACCTGAACTCTTATGTCCCGTATTCTATCCGTCTGCTGAATGAAATATAAAATGTAAAAATGTATCACCCGTATCTTATTTTGTTCTATTTGATTGTAGGAAATGATCAAAATTCCATTTGTATTTATTCTAGGACAAGTATATTTAACTACTTACAATAGCCATCTTTTCTCAAATTAAATGAAAAAGTTTCTTTTTCTATTTATACTCACATGTCGTAATATATTGCATGTTTACTAATAATTATCTCATACTGCCTCCAATAGGTATTCATATCTCATACATACTGCATTGAGTGCACTCATATTTTAGGTTTCATTTATAGGGACAATAATTGTTGTGGATCTATCAGAATATCAGGATATATACATGGTTAGTTTTTACTTGTTTCCACAATATAGACATTATGATAAATATGTTTTATTGTTAAACTGTCTGTGTTTTATATGTGCCTTGTTATATTTTGTTATCATAATGATATAATGAGTCAAACTAATGATTATAATAACAATTCAAACAATAATAATAATAATAATAATAGTATTAGTAATATTGATAATGATAATAGTAATAATAGTTACAATGTTATATTGTTCTGGTAATTACTCTGGATACATAAACAAATATTGAATATAATGTAAATTCAAAGAAAATATCTATATAATGTGAATGTTAAAGTGCTATATGTTCATTCTCTCTATATACTCGTTGTATGTTGTATGTATCATGTTACATGTACATTTTATTTATTCTTCTATGTGAACAATGCATGTAAACGAAACGAATTTCCTTTTGGACCAATAAATTTGAATTGAATTGAATTGAATATATATATATGTATGTGTCGGGTAGTGCGTGTGTATGTTTGCAAGTAACGCATATAAAAGAAAAAGTTGAATTCTAATTAAGATTAAAAATAGCTCTTGACATTTCTTGTTCCTTGTTCCTTGTTTCGAATCGGTAATACGTTAATGTAATCAAAGAAATAGTATCTCTTTGATGTAATGGAGTAGCGGACAACTCTTACATTTGTTCCAACACAAACAAATTACTCAAATATATATATATTTTTTTAACGTATTAATCATGAAGGTCTTTTCCTTTTAGATGACCTATAATAATAGGCTATCCAAAATATATTTTAAATATATCCCAAAGCGTAAAAGCCACTGAAGAGAAAAACACAAATAAAATATATTGTGGACACGACGAACGGGAGAATTAGCTACGTCATACTGCATTTCTAATGTGAGATTCGCAGAGAATTAGTGATTTTTTTTTTTTAACACGACCTTCATTGGGCGTGTTGCCATCCACCAAGCGCACCTGCAGTGTTCTAGGGGGTGCCTGAGTAGTGGCTGTTTATAAAACAAAAATTGTGAAGCTCTTTTGCATATTAAGACCCAAAACATATTTTTTTAAAGCACGGAACATGACTCAACAAAATTGTCATGAATAAGGACACAATGGGTATTTGAGATGAATGTCAACTACTCGTTGTTTACCCAACAGAAGCATACAAACAAATGTCAAACTTGGACAATGCACAAACTGATATATACCATGTTCATGCGATCAAAAAGTTTAGAGTGTTTTTTTTTGGTTGCTATCTTTTAAACTGTTGTCAGTATAGGCATTCACTTTACTTTACTGACCTCAAGGCCTCTATACATAATATTATTACTACCACGGCTTTAGCCCTGCTGCCCTAAGGCTAAAGCGAATTGAAGGATAAACTCCTTCCAAGTACCTATTTACTACACCTGGGTGGAGTGTGGCAAATGTAGATTACTGTGTTACCGAACGACATTAGTGCCGCGGCGGGACTCGAACCACGAACCATGTGATACACATTTTGGTGATATATCCTCAATACCACAACAGTTTTGGTCAACATAGACTCTAATCTCGTGCAAACGAAACCTTTCTTGTATGGTTTTAAATCTACACTGTAAAAAAAAATCTCTGTAATTTTACAGCAAATCTGCTGGCAGCAGAGTCGCCATAAATTATGTTGTAAAAATACAGATTGGTTGTTATTTTCTCCTACAAACATTTCATGTATTTTCTTTTACAAATTGTATGTTGATTAAAATTACACCAGAATGAATGTAAAAACATAGTACAAAAATGTTTGTTAATTTGGTTTACAGCTGCTTTGGTGTGGAAGTACCTTTTTGTGTATTTGTATTTGAAGCAATTTTGTTTTATTTGTTTACACCACCATGTAATTTTACAGAATGAATGTAAAAATATAGTACAAAAACGTTGTATAAATACAAATGTTTGTTAATTTGGTTTACAGCTTTCCCTTCTTCCTTTTGAGTACAGACCTCTTTACAGAGTATTATCGTACTATACTGGGGGTGTGCAGGTGGACCACTTCACCGGGGTTTCCCCCTACTCTTATACGAATAGTGCAGTGGGTTCTTAACGTGCAAAGGTAGTGACTCTTCTCTACACGAGGCCTCCATTTAACGTCCTATCCGAGGGATGGAGTGTTTTCCACTTGACATAACCTGCGTCTATGAACAAGGGAAGGGGCACGTTAACACACAACGCAGGTTTCAGTCATCCGCTTGGGTGGGAGTCGAACCCGGGATCTTTGGTTCGACAGACGGACGCTTTACCGACTGAGCCAACTCGCCTCCCTTTGGTGTGGAAGTATCTTTTTGTGTATTTGTATTTGACCCAATTTTGTTTTATTTTTTTTACACCACCATGTAATTTTACAGCATGAATGTAGAAATATAGTACACATTCAAAGTCTCTGGGACTTCATTCATATGCAAATGAGCATCCTCCGCATCGTGTATAAGAAGCCCACTCAAAGCCACGTGCATCAGTATTCAAAGACAAAAGGCTCATTCAATCATGCAAAGAAGGGCGGGAAAAAGACAACAAAATCAATTGTATTAATAGTCACACTGACAGAACATTCAATCAGGGAGGGACATGATTCCTCATATTAGGCTTATACTTCGTAGAATATAAATTAAACTTCAATATTAAATTTCTTTTAAATCTCGTTTAATTTAATTATTCTACTTCGTAACGCCTAATTATTCGAAATCATGTCTGGGATTTTAAAGTTGGAAAACGGAATCTGTAAATATGCTACAGTATATGTGAAATAAGTTTCATGAAATGTAAAATGCTGTCCAATCAAAACGACATTATAAAAACAGAATTTTGTTAAAGAATCTAGTAACTGCATTCAATTAAATCACATCGAAGTAAAACTGCACCATATCCATTCAATTTAAGAAATCGTTGTACGAATACAGACATCTGTAAAAATACATTTAGGTAAACAATTTCATCTGTAAAATTACAGGCAAACTGTATTAGTAACTCTATTTTGCCCTAAAATTACAGGCAAACTGTATTAGTAACCCTATTTTGCCTTAAAATTACAAATTTCTGATGTAAGTAAGTCTCACAATAAAAATGAAGTATTTTTACGGGATAGATCTGTAAAATTACAGGCAAACTGTATTGGTACTCTTTTTTGCCTTAAAATTACAAATTTCTGATGTAAATCAGTCTCACAATAAAAATGAAGTACTTTTGCGGAATATATGTAAAAATACATCCGAATTGCTGTATTTAGTTAAAACGTTACAAATCTGTATTTTTTTCCTGTAAAAATACAGATATTTTTTTACAGTGTATTATTATACATGGATTGATATATGAATAGTTATTTACCAAAATCAAACAAACAGTACACACGTGATTTGGGAACACCTGATAGAAATGAATTTAAAATTATCACAGAACTTGCATACAAAAAATTACCTAAACCATTGCACTCATACGGAATGGAAAAGGCTTGAAAATTCCCCATGTGATGACTGGTTGGAAGAAAGGGGTTGGGGCGGTACCCTTTAAATTCAAATTTTTCGGGTAGGTGTCTAGTAAGGGTAACTCTAACCGTAGAAGTGTCGTGGTATAAATGGATATGTCACCGTGCTGAAGATAAGCTGGTTCGTGGTTATAGTTGCACTTCGGCACCGACGTCTTTTGGCTAGACATTAATCAACATTTTCCACTCTCCACCCAGGTTATGTAAAAGGGTACCAGGTAGGAAGAAATTCCTAAAATGCCAGAAAGCTTTATCAGGGTAGCTCGGCTAATACTAAGGTAAGAGTACAGCGCTTAGATATATTATTATTAAACGCTATATCAATGCTATTACTGTTATTAATATCGTCATCATTACTATAATCGTTTTCATTATCATTATTATCATTATTATCACCACTGCTGATTAATTTGTACTAATTGCTTATTAGAAGCTATGCAAATAAAACTAATCTTCTCTTTTGGTTTGTTTGTTAATTTTGTTCTGTTTGTTTTTCTTAACTGGGTTTTCTAATTGCTGTTAGGGACGGTATAGTCTGAATGTTTCTGAGTTTTTTCAAACATGTCTTTTATTGTTCCTGTCCTATAGTTTGTTATATTTCCTTACAGTCGGGAGTGGATGAAGCTTTTATGCAATTAAAATAACAGATTCATTTTTGTATTTACAATAGCTTATACAAATCTTTTACCAGAAAAGTGTCTTTCACTTTAGAGTAGACTTTAGGCCTACATTTATGCTAAATAAGGTATGGATTAATGTTTGTTTTTTTAAAACATGCCCATGCTACCAACAACTCTCCGTTAAAATAAAAAACCGGAAGCAGGATTTGTTTCTATCATGATGAGTAGGCTAACATCGATGATAGGCGTCGGCTACCATAACCTGACTGATTTCATAAACGATGATTCTATAATCAGCTATCCATGGTTTATACGTATATTGTTTCAGCCATGCACTTCGACAAATCCCATCTTCTTTTACCGTGTAAAAGGGTAATAAACATAAAACTAAATGCTTTCCTTTCCCATACTCCATTGTATGTATCCCTTTCAGGGCCTGATTTTCTGTATGGGCTAAATTGAGGAAAATAGAGCCTACCAATACTTCGCTCTGTGGGGGGGGGGGGGTAGTATGCATAATTCATTTATTGTATTTGACCCCAGTGGGGGGGGGGGGAAGTATGCATAATTCATTTTTTGTGTTTGACCCCAGGGGGGCGGGGGGGGGGCCCGTCGGGTCCCCCCGTGGATCCGCGTCTGTGTAGGCCTATAGTATACTTTAAATCGCAAAGCACTTTTCTTACAAAGGCTTTGACAAGATTTGCTATTTTAAATGCATAAACAGCTTGATACACTCCCGGCTGTGAGAAAATGTTTACAAATTCAACTACAGGAACGATAAATAACATCTTTGGAAAAATCCGAAAATTCCGAATTTACCGTCCCTAACAAAAATTAAAAAAACTAGTTAAGAAAACAAACAGAACAAATTTAACAAACAAAGAAATAAAACAAGAACATTTGCTTTTTATTTGATTAGCGTATCATAACCAGTTAGTTCAAAGTAATCTGTATTAACAAAAGAAGAAATAAGCAGACCTGCTATTTATATCTGTCCTATGCAGACAATTTGATGTGGCTTTGTAAATACGGGGAGCATTCCCTTAGATTCCGTTTTGTTTAGTATTTGTTTGTTTGTTTATTTAAATACGGTGATTAAAACCATGCTTTCAGCTTGGCATATTTGTTTTTCAGCATGTCCGTAAATGGTACATTAAAATATATATGAATAAACAGATGAAATACAAAATTAAACAATAAAAATACATAACAGTAAAACAGGATAATGTTGTTGCTAGCTCATGCCAGCATAGACATTCACTTTACTCTACTGACCTGAACATTTGACTCCAGCATCCTCCGCATGGCTGCAGTTATTCTCAAACAATCCTGGATGCTGGCATTCCCCAAGGTTGTCTTCTGTCCCCAGGCAAGTCACGTTGTCAAGGATAATAGGTCCCTCTCCTGCTCCATACCCTTGTGTTAACTGCGCCTCACCCAGACCCAGCATCCTACAAATTACGTGACCGTCGCTGATGTCCCAGAGGTCATCGCACACCGTTCCCCAGGAGCCGTTGTAGTAGACCTCCACCCGACCCTCTCGATCCGTTGCGCCATCAACGAGACGCACCTGGAGGTAAACTACAGGCCTTATCTGGGGAGGGATTGTCGTGGGTGGAGCATCAGTAGCGCTGGAATCTAAGGGTGGGTGATTTGAGAAAGTTTATGGTATAGATTAGTGTTTTGCCAAAGGAGATTAGTGCCGCGGCAGGAATCGAACCGAAAACCATGTGATCCACATTCTGGTGATGTAACCTCAAGACCACAGTACCTCTGCTAAAAATAGACTCAAATCTTGTGTAAACAAAGCCTTTAATTCTTTTATTTCGATTCCATCATTATAAATTGATTGATACATGAATAATTATTTAACAAAACTATACAAACAATATTGACGTGATTCGGAAATGAATTTTAAAAAGTGACAGAACTTGCATACGCAAATTAACCTATACCACTGCACTCATAAGGAATGTAAAAGGCTTAAAAATAACCCATAAAATAGCTGATAGGGAGGAAAGTGATATGTCACCGGGCTGAAGATAAGCTGGTTCGCGGTTATAGTTCCACTTCGGCACCGATCTCATTTGGCTAGACATTAATCAACATTTGCCAATCTCCATCCAGGTTATTACTATTATTGTTATCATTATTATAATCTTTTTCTTAATCATCATCACCATCGCATATCTCTTTCCTTTTTTAAATAGAGATTACTTTGTACTAACCGCTTATACACAGCTATGCAAATAATGTTTTTTTTTTGTTCTTTTTGTTGGTTGTTTGTTAATTTTGTTCTTTTTGGTTTTCTTAACTAGCTTTTCTAATTACTGTTTCTGATTTTAGGTAGTGTATCAAACGTTTCTGCCTTTAAAAAATCAGATTTATTTACCATAGCTTGTCAAAAGCCTTTGCAAAGAGAAACAAGTGTCTTGCATTTAAAGTTATACTATGGGCCTACAGTTACGCTAAATAAGGTATGGATTAATGTTTGTTTATGAAAAGTCCCCATGCTACCAACACATCTCCGTCAAAAAAAAAACACCAGGACGCAGGATTTGTTCTATCATTATAAGTAGACTAACATCAATGATAGGCGTCGGCTACCATAACCTGACTGATTTCATAAACGATGATTCTATAAACAGCTATCCATGGTTTATACGTATATTGTTTCAGCCAGTTCGAGGAATCCCATCTTCTTTTACTGTGTAAAAGGGAACTAAACATAAAACAAAATGCTTTCGTTTCCCATAGGCCATTGTATGTATCCCTTTCAGGGCCTGATTTTCTGTCAACAAAAAATATTTGTTTTCTTATTTGCTTAGCTTATCATAACCAGTGAGTACATAGTAATCTGTATTAAAAAAGGAAAGAAATAAGGAGACTGGCAATTTCTATATAATATTTGGGAAATTCAGTTTTAGGTAAAATTTGCACAACAGTTTAATATGGAGTTCCTATACTGTATAAAAGGGATTGGGTATCTTTGTCTCAAATTCTAAACAAAATCCTGGATTTAGCTCATGCTGCATTCATAATTATAATCAAACCTTTAGGTCACTCAGGAATGGGATTCCTGAGTGACCTAAAGGTTTAATTATAATTATATATATATCTGTACAGCGCTTTGAGAGGGCTTTCGGTCTTGAAAAGCGCTATATAAGAACTAGCTATTATTATTATTATAACTATATAGCGGATATGAGACTTCTTTAAATTCCGTCTACGAAACACTGTCGATCAAAGGATAGCTTTTTTTCAACTTGATTAATTAAAAGGCTAGGCCTATACCAATCACAGATTCCTTTCCTTCTCTCTCTCTCTCTCTCTCTCTCATTTCCCTCATCATCTCCCTCATATTCATCATCATCATCATCTCCTTTTCTCTATTTCTACCTCTCTCTCACTCTCGCCCCCTCTCTCTCTACCTGTCTCGTCTCTCATTTTGGAGCAAGCCGGGTGGCATTTGGCGCACGCCATATGGCACCCAGTTTATTCCACTTGGCGACACATGCCGAGCGGACATTAATTCGGCGCCACAGCGAGCCACTACGCGCCAATCACTACGCGCCGGCACCAACTGGCGCTGGCCCAGTGGACTTCTACCTTTAACAAACAAACAAATAACAACTAAAGATGTGCTTTTTATTGCAAAGCGTATCATAACCAGCTAGTACAAAGTAATCTGTATTGAAAAAAGGAAATAAATAAGCAGACTGGCAATTTCTATCTGTCATATGCAGATAATTAGGTGGTCTGTCGATGACAGATCACCTATTGATTTCGTTAGAATTTTCTTTCTTTATTTATTTATTTATTTATTCTTTATTAGGTGGACTGTCAACGACAGATCACCTATTGATTTCGTTAGAATTTTCTTTCTTTATTCTTTCTTTATTCTTTATTAGGTGGTCTGTCAACGACAGATCACCTATTGATTTCGCTAGAATTTTCTTTCTTTCTTTATTCTTTATTTTTATTTCTTCCGTACACTTTTTTGTCCACACGTTTACTCGAAATCGACATGGTCAATTTCCTTTGAATTTCTGTCAGTCATCAAGCCCTATGATTTCAAGTCTAATTAACTTTTTCAAGTTCATTGGGTCATCGTGACGTCATCCAGGCGCCATTTTGTAAAAATCAGGTCATTATCATATCTCGATAACAAGTCATCAAACATCAACCATATTTGGTATACATCAACTTCAGGTTGAAGGTCAACGAAAAATGTCAAAAAATTCCGCGCGCGCACCTCGACGCACACGTACGCGCGCATTAAAATTTTGAAATGGTCAAATTCGTTCTAAATTAATTTTTCATACGTTTCAGGCCATTTTAAGCATTTTCAAAATTTGCGCGCGCATAATTATGCGCGCGCGTTTCCGCGCGTATCCGCGCGTCTTGGCATTTTGCAGCATAGAATCGCCAATTTTTTTCTGTTATCACATTTATTACATTTTACCAAGCATTTTGATACCTTGTTTACCTTTTTCCGACCAGTAATACTGCAATTAGCGGCTGTCAAAGTTGAACGCACGCGCCAACCTGCGCTATCTGTATCCACAATACATGGGCAAAAACATGCCTATACAAAATTCATTTTAACTCCTCAGAATTGATAGATAACCCCCAATTTCTTTCATATTTAAATAGATTATGAGTTGGAGGTATGATTTCATGTCTCATTTGACCCTCAATTAACTCATGACGTCATCATAATGGCCTCCAAACTCAAAATTTCAATTTGCATATTATGACGTCAGCATATTTCTGGAAAATTGACTGTATCTCTGTAAACAATGATCAATTTTCTTCCAAATTTTGATATGATCTAGCTTAGACAATTCTCTACAAATATAGTACAAACAATATTTCATTTTGACAAAGGTATCATGGCGTATTTTTGCGATTAAAGGTGGCATGTCAATTTTTCACATTTTGCGTGTATTCTCTATGGGACATGACTTTTTCTCAAAACTGGTTCTACATTCTCGTCTTTCGCGAGCAATATCTCCGTCGTTTTATCTTCATTTACGCTGAGCTTTGAGTATGTTGTAGCTGAGACAATAAGCTATCATAAGTGTGCCCTTTATTTTTCATTCAGATGCCGGGATCATGCTCATATTTCACTTCCAAAGTGGGATTTGAGAATTCCATTTCCCGTTTACGTGTAATCTCTATGGGAAATGTTTTGGTATATCCGTAACGCACTTGACTTCCGACCTCGAGGTCCCTGGTTCGAGTCCGGGCGTCTCCAACAATTTGTTTTCTTCACTTTTTTTTCTTTTTGACCTTTCACTGTACCATCTCCTTTCAATATTAAAACACGTACAATCGTAAATAATGTAATAAACAACCATATTTACTTTATTATTACCCTATTATCACTTGATCCATTACTTTTTGCGTGCAATCCTTATGGGAGATGACTTTTTCTCAAATCTGGATTCTACAAAATCTTGTCTTTTGCGAGCAATATCGCCGTTATTTCGGCTTGATTTTTGTTGATTTTTGAGTATGTTGTAGCTGTGACTATATACTATCTAAATGTTCTCTCATTTGTGTCAGTCTGATGTCATCATGGTCTGTTGATGATAATCATCAACATCATCATGATCATCATCATCATCATCATCGTCATCACCATTACTATCAAGATCATCATCATCATCATCATGATGATCATCATTGTTTACATGTCTATATAACTTCTCCCTTTCTCAATAAAGTAAATATTATAATCTATCATAAGACTTGAAGACAGACCACCTTAATCGTCCTCGTGACAATTTAAATTCTAGTTCTTTAGTTTTTTATTTCTTCCGTACACTTTTTTGTCCACACGTTTACTCGAAATCAACATGGTCAATTGCCTTCAAATTTCTGTCAGTCATCAAGCCCTATGATTTCAAGTCAAATTAACTTTTTCAAGGTCACTAGGTCATCGTGACGTCATCCAGGCGCCATTTTGTAAAAATCAGGTCATTATCATATCTCGATAACGAGTCATCAAAAATAAACCATATTTGGTATACATCAATTTCAGGTCAAAGGTCAACTAAAAATGTTAACAAATTCCGCGCGCGCACCTCGACGCGCACGTACGCGCGCATCAAAATTTTATAATGCTCCGATTCGTTTAAAATTAATTTTGCATACGTTTCAGGCCATTTTAAGCATTTTTAAAATTTGCGCGCGCGTAATTATGCGCGCGCGTTTCCGCGCGTATCCGCGCGTTCTGGCGTTTTGCAACATAGAATCGCCAAATTTTTTCTGTTATCACATTTATTACATTTTACCAAGCATTTTGATACCTTGTTTACCTTTTTTCGACCAGTAATAACGCAATTAGCGGCTGTCAAAGTTGAACGCACGCGCCGACCTGCGCTATCTGTATCCACAATACATGGGCAAAAACATGCCTATACAAAATTCATTTTAACTCTTCAGAATGAATAGATACCCTCCAATTTCTTTCATATTTAAATAGATTATGAGTTGGAGGTATGATTTCATGTCTCATTTGACCCTCAATTAACTCATGACGTCATCATAATGGCCTCCAAACTCAAAATTTCAATTTGCATATTATGACGTCAGCATATTTCTGGAAAATTGACTGTATCTCTGTAAACAATGATCAATTTTCTTCCAAATTTTGAAATGATCTAGCTTAGACAATTCTCTACAAATGCAGTCAACACAATATTTCATTTTG